TTTTATTATAACATTTATATGCATTAACCTCTGTAACTAAGACAATATCTATTTATCACCGCTCTAACTTGGGCCATTGTGCAAATTAATTTGTTACTTACTATTTGTTAATTCTTTTATTTTATCCACAAATTCCGCACTTAAATAATTTGGAGCCTCGACGACCCTCAGTTTTAGTTTTGCTTCACTATCAAATCTATGTTTATTTGAATCCTGCCGAAACGAAGGCTCGTATCATTATCAGTACGTGAAAATAATGTAATGTTTTATACATAAAATCATATAATATGGCACATAATAATATATTATTATTACTTAAACTGAAGTTAATATCCATTTAAGAATGTGGGACGACACGTGATGAATTAATGGAACCGTCTGTCAATGAGGCAGGTATTTATTTATACCTGGATATCTGAGACACTGGGTAAGTGGAACACTTATAGAAAGTGAGACAAATTTAAAGGTCCCTTAATGTCTCACTCAACCAGGTTTCATTGTATATGGTACTATATATGTCTACACTATATGTATATGTCTATAAATGGCGGTTACCACTTTCCATCAGGTGGGCCGTCAGATTGTTCGTCATTCTAAGTTGCATAAAAAAAACTTGGGTGCCTAAATAAAACAATTTGCTTGGAGAGTTACAAATGACGGTATGAACAGTCATTTAGAAATGAGTTCCCTTTTATACGCCAAATTTGTATTGTTTGCCTAAGATGCAGCTGTGTCGCTATCCTGTGAAAACACCATCGTTTGTGAATATCTTTGAGGCGCCACCGACTTAACAACGTCATTATGCGTTTATTGTTCTTTCTTCTATCGATGTCCTTTGTAAGTTGCTACCTACGTAGCGCGGCAAGTGGTCGTCTTGCACACTTATTGTGCACTTAGCTAGGAATACAACTAAAAACCTTTGAAGTTGCCGACAACTAGCTTTATTAATATGATATTGTTTTGTTGCCATTTTGCACGTGTCCTTACTTCTTTGGAGTAAGGTCGCTATTCTTTGTATTCGTTCCTATATGGATTCCTTCATCATTTAATTTAACCAGTCGCTCATAGTTATATTTCAAGTATAATTATGCGTTAGATTGCATGGAAGAATGATTTTTGTAAGACATACTATGTCTTCAAACTAACTTTTACGCAACTCGATTTGGAAAACCTCAAAGATCAGCCACAATAGAAGAGCTTGATGTATTAATTACTTTGAACGGTTGGTGATGGGTATTAAAAAAACTGCCTAGCAATCAATATTACTGGTCCTCAGCCTCAGATTTAAATGAATGTTATATTTCGAAGTGTTGAACTTCAACGAGTTTAGTTGACTTTTGTATAACCTGCATGTACATCATAAATTACCCTGATTTTGGTAAACTTTATAAAATTAGACCTCTGCTCGATAACATACGAACTAATTTCCAACAAAACTATAAACTGGAAGCATTATTAAATTTAAAAGCAAAATATATCAAGCAATATATTATATGGCATAAAGAAAACCATTATAAAAGGTAATATAAAATGTGTATACTATGTGCACAGTTATACTAGTCAGGAGAGTTTCATATCGACACTCGTAAACAGGGTACTAATTTTTAAATTGATTTAGGTGGTAAAGTTGGCATTACCATCTTAACTCTGATTCTTTACTCTCAGCTTTGACCTTCAATATAAGAACTGTAACACGAAGTTCCAAAACGTTTGCACTGCGTTTAAAGTATAATACGTCGTATCGTATTATAACCCGCTCATCTGTAACATGTTATGTGTCGTACTTTTAGTGAAATATCTGCTAAATGTCCTCAAATTGATATCTTCAACTCGCATCTGAATGCCTTTACAGAGAGATAGTCAGTCGTCAAGTCTCTTTGGCACGTCTATATTTTTATATATTTTTGTTATTTGCATTTGCTTGTTCATTGTCATATCATTTCTATATATAATTTATAATTTAACATTGTTTGCCATCTGCTTTAACCATGCTGTGTGTACACCTGTCTGGGTCTCAATCTAGTTCATACTATTGTTTTTTCATAAATGCTTTTAATGCTATTGATTGTAACCTGTAACGTATACCTACCTAATAAAAAAAATATGATTTTGCAAAATTTAGAAAAAAAAAACAAAAATTATAAGTTTTATTTCAGGAACTTTTTAATAATTACTTTTTGCACCTGAACTAAAAAAAAAAACAAAATTTTACTCTGCGGAACAGTGAATTTAATACTTGTAGAAAGTTTTTACCAACACTGATAGTACTGATGCAGAGAATGCAGTAGGTCTGGTGTTGCAGTGTCATATCCAGAAGCTGTGAAAGACTAACTACCACGCGAATATGCAGTTGAAAGGAAGTTATCCTACTAAGTGAAAGTCACACAAACGATGGCGTAGGATTTTCTTCTACTTTCTTAATTCTTCTGTAATTTGCAAAGAACTGCATACCTCTTCATGCACTGACCTAATCACTTTAGCTCGAGGGGCAGAGATTGTTAGTAATGGGGAGATTAGACACCTTTCCTATCAATATACCTTATCAGGTCGATCTCCACGCGGTTCCCCCTGTAAACCATCGTGACTAAATTATCGTTGAATTCATCACGATGGGCTAACTGACTTGCTATTTTATCCTCACCTATCATCTCTCGCTGGTGCCCCGCCAGTGTATACCGCTAGAGCGGGTGGGGTAACCATTCCATTATCATTCATTAAAAAAATCACAACAGATCCTTACATCAGGTACTTTTAGCGCCACCATATGACAACCACAAGAAGAGACCTGAATTAGTGAACAGCAACCGTGGCTCCGAGGTGCTGTCTCCAGGACCTGTTCTTATAAAACGCCGCACGGCTACAATCCCTGTACGAGTATAAATGACTCTAAAAGGCAGTCAGCCCACTCCAGCCAGCACACAGCCAGGGAGAGGCTTATGTCCACTGCTGTACATAAGCCTCCCCCTTGGGGGAGTTTGTCATTAATTGCCATGCTTGGCAGGCGGATTGGCAACAGCAATTGGGCTTTGTAGACGTTTTAAGAAGGACGCTGCTGCCCATCTCTTACCCTCCCTTAGTAGCCTATTACGACATCCACGAGTAAGCAAGGGGTGGCCTATTCTATACCGGAACCACTCGACAATATTATTCTAATATTAATAAAACTACAATAATTGTTTTACTTTCATTAACACAGGTAGTGGGCAGTGTAACTAATCACCAGCACCTTCCCCTAAGATGTCATAATTTTTTTTATTTTTATGAAACTTATACGAGTACAGTAAGTAATGAGAATTGAAAAATGTTATTTTTAGATTATTGCCATTGTAAATATGTAACTGGAAGCGCTAACAATATCGAGATATTGAACTCGTCGTCCGGACATACGGACGTGTCGCGACATCGACGCGACCTTCAATCACGTAAGTAAGTATCCCTACAGAGTCCAAGCCGCATACAGACGGCCGCTGTAGGTACTCACACAGCGCGACTATGTATGCGTAACTTCGCACATCGACTGATACGTATATACTGCGAGCCATAGAGACAGTTATACAAAAATAAAATAATGCCAGTTAGTGACAAGTTTTCATTAGCTTTGTTGTGGTAGGTACTATAAAGAAAATTACGCAGCTAGTTACAGATGAGCTTTAAAATGAAAAGTACTGAAATATTTATTTATTCTTTATTAACCAATGTAACAACGTAACAACACACACACACACACACACACACACACACACACACACACACACACACACACACACACACACACACACACACACACACACACACACACACACACACACACACACACACAAAGGAGCGCGCGCGCGCGCTCGCACCTCTTTGTTCTAATATTAAATCATATTTATTTTTTAACCTTTGAATTGTCAATACTTTATATGGGGGGGATTGGTGTCTAAGATACAAGTTAAAACGACTTAGTTTTTCCAGATCTCCCACAAATTATGATACTTTTATTTTGTATAAAGTAAAATGTTATATTATTATACATTGTAATTTGTGGAGATGAATAAACTAATTTTTATTATTTTATTATTATTATTAATTTTCGTCACAAATAATAAAAAATAAGTTTGTTTGTTTTGTTACACACTTTATGTAGTATGCATAATTCGTTTGTAAAGTTTTACGTTTCGTTATGCTTTTTTATGTCAGTTCATTTGTTGTTATCAATGAATAAATAAATTTTGTTTTAATGTTGTTGGATGTTGCCGAGGCTTGTTTGTTGACATTTATTGCATAAATATGACATTATTTGCATAAATATATTGTTTTACTATATACCTCTGATAAGTTAGAGAAATATAAATTATAATAGAAAATAAATATTTCTAACGGCTGTAATCCCTAATGTTTATGTGCCGTTATGATGAAAGTATCATTCGTTTCTTCGAACACATTAGAATTCTATTTCATTGTATTGATTGTTTGTGTTACTTATCAGTATTCCTTATCTCCGGAGAATTATTCGAAAACTTAAATTGATATAACTAGATGTTGACGTCAGCCATATACAAACTATATAATATAATCTCAAAGGTGGGGACCTTTGTGATATTTTTTATAATTAGAGTATCATACACAACAATCACAACGCTTTAAGTATTTTTAGTAAAATGCACTTTTACTATTAAATGCAGTTTTTATATATTGGTAGGTAAGGAGGGCAGTGATTAAATAGACAAATAAAGAAAGATATCAAACTTAACTGGTTATTCTTGTTACATTTATGTATATTCTTTGTTATAAATAATTTATATTCATTATCATTCATTATACATTTTTTTTTTAATATTTAAAAAACGATGTATATTTTTATTTGCTGCCTCAGTGGTATAAAACAAAGGTTATAAAAGACCTATTCGAATAATTTTAAGTCGCTGTTTTATCACTACAACTATGATACGCGAGTGACCTATAGCCTACAGCGGACCGTTTGCGCGCAATACGAGCTCTGTTGAGTTGCTTACTCGTATTCTCGTTTGACGTGTTATTTGGAATTCCATTCATCAAGTCTACGAATATGTGTACCAGTTCCTGCAGCAAGTAGTGAGCGTAGTGCGGCGCTCGCGTACTGACGGCTATATCGGGCGCGAATAGAATGGCAGAGAATACGAGCGACGCTTCACGAGAGCAGGCGGCGACGGCGGCGGCGGCGCCGGCGATGGTGACGGTGCGCGCGGCGCGAGCCGACGACATGCCGCGCATCCACACCTTGATACACGTGAGTAGACGGCAACTGTAACACCAGGGGATAGGGACTGTTAGTAATGAGCTCTAATAGCCCCATTGTTAGCAATAGACCCTCTCAGGCCGACCTCCACGCAGTTCCCCCTGGAAACCGTCATGATTAATTCTTGTCGATTTCATTACGGTGGGCCAACTGACCTGCATTCATTCTCACCTATCATCTGTCCCTGGTGGCTCGTTGGTGTATACCGATAGCGCGGGCGGGGTTACCATTCCATTTTAATCTATTAAATAAAACTAATACCAAGCATACAGTCGCTTCAGTCAGCAAATATTCCCATCTGCGCCCACTGACCGCGCATTGCTCAAATTTTTCAAAGATCACAAAACGCCGACGCAGCAAAATATTTTTCTCGCGACTTGGCGAGAATCATTCGTTTCGTTGTATTCTGCTTTCAGTATAAAATATAAACGAATGTCCCGTTAAATTTGTTGTAGTTTAATTAACTTGTACTTTTCTAAAATGAAGCAAATATTATGGTATTCTGATTCTTACGTCCAATACATTGCCATGTGTATAATATGTAGTTGTAATACTATTAATTGTCATTTTATAAAATTAATTAAATTTAAAAAATTAGCATTTGCTTTGCATCCTCTGGTACGGCGTCAAGCTGTCCAGAGCCAGCCAGTTTATTATGATTTTTTTTGTTGGGATTCGGATTGTATCTATGTGAACTTAAACTTCTGAATTTTGCAAAATCATATTGAAGAAATATTGTCACTTGGATGATGGTCGCCACATAACGCCATCATCAGGTAAGCCGTGTAAAAGAGGATTAATTTATTATTATTGATACAGTATGTAGTAAATAATCTATATTCGTATTAAATTGTAATAATTTACAAAAAATAAAATAATGTAATAATTTACAAATGGTACATACATACATACATACATATCTGTCACGCCTGTTTCCCATTAGGGTAAATGTATAAATATTAGATTATTTATAAATAACTATATCCCGTGGCTTCACGTCACATGGCGGCGGGAAGCATCATAATTAAAAAAGGAATTTTAACTCCAATAGAAATAACATTAGATCCTAAATCTCTGAATAGAAACATTCTGTCGTCATCCCACGAAACTCCAGCAAGTTAGAGGCAAATACGTCCAATTGCGGATTTGCGGATACCGGCTCAAAAGATCATTGAACAGTTTCAATGCAAGAGATAGGGGAGCTTGCTTGGCCAACTCTGTTCTTCTTAACGGAACGGCGTTGGCTAACTTTATAATCTTCAATTTCGTTGGAATAATTTATTTTATTTATTTAGTTTTTTAATTTATGATTCAGAACTGTAAATATTATTTCAGGAGCTGGCCGTATACGAGGGCATGCCGGACGGGCCGCAGCTCAGCGTTCAAGGTGAGCTCGTGCCACTGTAACCGGCTAAAAGTGTATATTAATACAAATAGTATTAGATTCGTATACAATACACGTCTGAAAAGTACTTTCCAACAAATTGGTTCTACTAAAAGATAAAATACTCAAAAAATAATACTTTATCAGGTTAAATTGATTGTCTTCCTTTGTTGATAAAACTCTACTGATAGGAACACTCGTCTAGTGTTGTTATCAGTCTCGTCGACATTCTGTATGCACTAACAAACATTGTTGTGTACAAAGATTTGATCAGGGATGGTTTCGAGAGCCCTTCGCCGTGGTTCTTTGGTCTGGTGGCGGAGAAGCAGGGCGAGGTGGTGGGGCACGCGCTGTGCAACCGGGCCTACTCCAGCTGGACGTGCCGCGCCTACTACATCGAAGACCTGTACGTGGTGCCGAGCATGCGGCGCGCCGGCGTCGGCATGAGCTTGTTGCGGCACATCTGCCAGGTTAGCTTGTCCATGCATCTACTATTTATTATAAAATAAAAAAAAATCTTTATCAACAAAGAAAAAGCAATAAAAAACCTACTTACATACGTAAAACAATATAAGGTCAATTTCCAGGCAGTTCCTCCATCAGTGAAAGCTATCGTAGTTACTGAATTGTTTATACCATGAAAGTGTCAAACAAGTATGTATTTGATGGTAAACGGTCACCATAGCCAATGGACGCCTGCAACACTAGGAATATTACAAACGAGTTGCCGACCCTGAAGAAACTTAATACGCCCTTTTTAAAGAGCCCCATACTGTAGTCTGTAGGGAAAATCTCAGAAGAGAACTCATTCCATAGCTTGAGCGTTCGCGGGAGGAAACTCTTGTGAAACCGCGTTGTACGCAAACATTTAGGTTTTAGTGTGGGAAAATAAATTCCCTGTTAATGGCGAGCGTCGCGATAATAGAAAATAACTGTGGGCATCATCTATACTTATAATAAATCTGTAGAGAGCTCAATTCTGTACATGAAATATATTTCCAAAATAACTATCAGGGGGTGATTAGCCAAAAATGCAATCAGTAAAATTTTTGTGTCTGTCTGTCTGTCTGTATGTTCGTTATAGAAACTAAAACTATTAGACGGATTTTAACGAAACTTGGTACAATTATTCTTCATACTCCTGCGCAGGTTATAGTATTTTCATCACGCTACGATCAATAGGAGCAGAGCAGTGAAGGGAAAGTTTAAAAATGTCCACCCGAGCGACGCCGGGACGGGCCGCTAGTAAAAATAAAAATCATCTACATAATTCGAAAGATAATACTAAAACACCGAGGGCGCTGTTCGCTAAGTTGATATATCATTATATTCAATGACACCGAAGAAAATAATCATTATTAAAGATAGGCTTCTTCAATAAATTAGTTTCCTCACAATCTATCAATGTACTCATCATATTTCACGACTCTGGCGCCTTGAATATACCTAACAGAATGATTGATTTACCTACAACCATGAATAACTTATGGCTTCCAAAAAGGTATCTAATGTTTAACATGACGGTAATAGATGGAAATAACCTATAGCTTACCCATTTGTGTACCCATGTATATATACTAACCGTCAGATGTTTCATATGACGGAGATTCAAGCAATTAAGCATAAGGCTATTACTACTAATAAGCCCAAGAGATTACTACAAAGTATCTATGAATATTTGTAAAATATGTCTGTCCCTTTAAATAGAAAAAGAAAACGGAATAATTTTACGTAGAATTTGAATGACCGGCGTTATGATGTACATACTTGGTCCACTAATCTGAGAGCTTATTTTTCCGAATTGATATATAAACGAAATAGACAACGTGTAGTTACCATTCCATTTTCACCCATCAAAAAAAATCTGAGGGCTTATTTTTCCTAATTGGGATATAAACGAAATAGACATGTAGACGTGTAGACGTCGAATAGATGCTGTCGTTATGTCCATCGTAATTTCATATCTCAAATCGATTACGTCAAAAGTCAGCCTCCTGAGCAGAGTGTGTTGAACACTGCGGAAGGATGTTACAAGTACAGCGCTTGCGACGTCAAGTAATTAGAGTTGTATCGTGTCGTACGGGTAATCTTCGTTCTTTTTATGGGAGGACTAAGATATTGGTCTCAAGGCGCCCCCTTCGCTCTAGTTTCAACTCTAGAAGTGACTACCCCCGAAATACTGGAACGCTTGCTATTAGGCTGTCCTTTTTCTTTGATCTTTTATGGGCTGAAGCTGAAGAATTAGAAGCCGTGTTGGTCCCGGCATAGAATAAGCTACCCCTTCTTTTCCCGTGGTTGTCGTAAGAGACGACTAAGGGAACTCATGGTCGAGGGACGGGCAGCAGCGTCCCTGTTAAAATATCTCAAAAGATTTAATTGCGGTTGCCAACCCGCCTGACAAGCGTGGCAACTACTGGCAAAACCCCCCAATGGTAAACACTGTAAAAAACGGCCCCCAGTCCCCGGTGACTTCGCTATTCCTGATCACGGTAGCGGCCACGGTAACGGTGGAGCACGGGGTGCTAAGAATCTCCGGCAAAGATTGCCCGTATGCAAAAACTTCAGATTACTCAGCAGGTTATGGAGAAGGTAAACACAGTGTAGGACGACCTATTGACTATATTTATACTTATATTTAGACTATATTTATACGATGCATTGCATGGAGTCAGTGGATGCAGGTGGTTTAGGACCTTTATGGCAGTCTATGGGGGAGGCTTATATGTAATAATGGACGGATAATGGCTGAAATGCTGATGATTGTAGGTGTACGATACTGTGCGCAGATGGCGCTGCAGGAGAACGTGCACCGCATCGACTGGCACGTGCTGGAGAGCAACGCGGCCGCGCTGTCGTTCTACGCGCGGCTGGGCGCGCGCGACATGCGAACCAGCGAGGGCCGCGCCGCGCTGCGCCTCGACCGCGCGCGCATACACCTGCTCGCGCACCACACGCCGCCCGCCCCCGCCCCCGCCCCCGCCCCCGCCCCCGCACCCGCACCCGCCACCGCACCCGCACCCGCCTCCTGATTCGTCAATACCACTCTGTTTTTGCATACGTTTATTAACAAGTAACTTTTGCCCTCGACTTCGTTCGCATGGAGTTCGCTTATACTGCAAACCCCCTTTTTTTTTTTTTTTTTTTTTAAACTTCAAAGGTAAAAATTAAACAAATAAAGAAACACTATTTCTGGTTTCAAAAATACCTGTCTAGCATTTTTACATGCAAAGTTCTCCATTTCACTCCCTCAGGGTGTCGGTTCAAATGTGATTTTTAATGAATGTAGGAATACGTACTTTCTGTCTTTACCCTCTTAGATGTTAAATTTTAAATCTTCCTTTCTTATTGTTCACCTACGCTATATGAAAAGCCTATGTGCAAAGTTTCAATCAAGATTCCATTCCATTCAGCAGTTTCCACTGTGCATTCATATACGAGTCAGTCAGTGAGCATCCACTTTTACATGTGTATTGTATAGAAGATTTGGCTTTCCAACGAGTTACCAAAATGCGGATACTTTTATTATTCGACTTAAGAAATGTTTTTTTTTTTTTTTTTTTTTTTTTTTTTTTTTTTTTTTTTTTTTTTTTTTTATGTTTAAAATATAAATAAATCTATTTTATTTTATTCTTGATTTATTTTATTTCATTAATTAATAATCCTAATATAGTATTCTACATTTTAGTGCATAAGTATTGGGTAAACAAGTAGGGAACGGTAGGTACTCCACCACGAGTGTACATGTACAAATAAAATAATTTAATTCAATTGTAGCAAACTCACTTATTTTGATTTAAAACTAAACTACTGCACTTACGATTACGATTTTGATAAAATTTCTAAGGGACCAATATCATTTTAGAAAAAAAAAATTTTTTTTCAAAATAGTTCTATTATTTATAACAGACAGAATTATGATGTAACAAACATACAAAGTACAAAGGAGAACCTCCTTATTTTTAAACTCAGTTGAAAATAAATATTTCTTGCAGAGAGCATACTGGTAAAGTGCAATGACTTCATTATTCTCGTTATTGGTCTAAAATCATAATATTGCTTTCAGCATCTACTTGAATACTTGCATTTATTTATACCTACCTGTATAAAATAACTTTAATTCCCATCTATCATATGGTATATCAGCTATTGTCTTGATGTAATGTAATATTACAATAAAAGTTTTTATGTTTTATAAACAATAACTAAGGGATAACAAATATGAAGAACCACCAACAACAACTGAATTGTGAATCTCTTTTAGGGTTTAATGATTTAAATTCATTATTGCCACTTGAGTAATAAAATAATTAAATACTTAGTTTTTGTTCCACGCTACTAATTGTTTGAATACGTCTTGGAATATGATGTAAGCTACAAGGGAACGAACAAACAACAATGGTTTACGCGATGGAAATCAGTAACCGTCGCGTCGCCTCCAAACATTATTGTATTACATACGGGCCATACTTACACCTCATAACACTAAACTATTACCATACATCAAACATTGCCGTTTTAGGTACTAAGATATTTATTCTTAGATTGGGTACGTTATATTACGTTTATGTATTAATTAAATTCCGTTCATACTAATGTTACGAGTACTGCCAGGCCGCGATATATGGCTGTTTTGTTTATACAAATTGAACCGACAAATAAGTTGACGTCTGACGGCTCACTTGATAGAAAGTGGCCCCTAAAGAGGCGCTGGGGCCTCCGCTACACACATCAGTTACACCACGTATATCACCAAATACGTATATATTGCATATGTTGCATTGACATCGTTAAAACATTATTGTTACAACATTTTGACAACAGATCTGCGGCTCCATTTCTCTAATATTTTCATTTAGCGAAATTACTGTTTAAAAGGTGTAGTAGACTTCTGTAGAAAGTCATCCCTTCATTTCCCGTGGGTGTCGCAAGAGGCGACTAAAGGAGGGTGAAGGATGGGCAGCAGCATCCCGCTTAAAACATTCCTAAAGCCTAACTGCGGTCGCAATCCGCCTGCCAATCGTGGCAATTACTGGCAAAACCCCACCAAAGGGAGAGACTTATGTTCAGCGGTGGACAGTTAAAGGCTGATATGTTGATGACTGTTTTATGGACCATTATCTACCAAATTTATAATAGTTTTGATAGATTTACTATTAGAAATTTAATTCGTATTGGTTCATGGAATAAAGATTTCCATATGAATTTTCAAAATAAATTGAGATGGGTATTTATAGGTTTGTTTTTTGAAGTATAAATTTATAAAATATCAATAAATTCGCAGTTGAGTTCTTTTTCTAGTTACTAGTTTAGATAATATTATCATTGACTTGTTTCATTGTATTATAATGCGATGTAAATAGAGTAGAGAAAGTTGCTCATTACCGCAAATGGGCAAACGTAGTGAGGACGCAAACTTAGCCACTTGGGGTACAAACACCTACTCGAGGCTTATTTTCTCTCAACTGAATACATTATGCGCACATTAGACACGAATGTATGCATGTTTCGTTGGAGAGCCTTTGTAATAGCATAACAATAAAGACGAGGATTATTTATTCTCATGGTAACAATACATAATTATCTATGTCTCAAGATATATTATTTTGTAATGGACGAAAATAGAATGATGACTGACTCCGCCTCAATAGACGGAGTTAGCCACGCTGGCGGCGCAGTGAAGGATGCTCAGCGATCACGCAGTCAGGCCATTTGCACGATATCATATATACTTTATTTATTATACATTATTATTACAGGGATAATAATCAGGGAATAGGTTTTACTCCCTGGGGCCCTGAACCCCGGCCGACTGTCCTTCTGCCGGGGGTTAGTTTGCCATCTCCTCCGCTTAAGAGGAAAGGTGTGAATTTTGTTAAAACTTAAATAGCTTTTGCTGAACGCACATGACGTTAAGCGCTGATTTTCAGTTTGCACCTGCGCGGGGTAACGTTTTGTTAGCAAATATTTTCATATACGATATATGTATATTTTACCAAATTAATAAATAAAAATAATATACAGACAAATTAAAAAAAAATGTTACATATTGGGGTGTAAATTTATACGTACACTACATTCTGTGACGAGAGTCGGCTCCATGATCCGACGATAGATTCTGTAGGATTATTTTATTATTTTTTAAAATTCAATGACGTTAGCGGTTGGGGTAATGGTGGAGGCATAAAGATGTCTAATATTGATACGGTCCCTGTAAATGAAACTGACTCACTTCTACATGAGAGCACATAACGTTTTGTAAAAGATGAACTGAATTTTTTTTTTTTTACATTTTATGTTTTTGATGAAATAAATATACTTTCTAAGGAACAATAAATAAAAAAAAAGTCATAATACAATCATTTTACATAAGTTTCCCCTTAAAGTTTTCCCTTAGATGTTCGTATTTCTTCCACTTTCCTTACTAGAGCAGAGGAAATGAGAAAATCCTAAATTAAAATAACAGTACAACAATAAAATATGGTAAAGAAATTATAAAATATTGTTACATTGTGTTAACTTGTATCAACGTGTTAGTAATTGTGCGAGAGTAGTTCAGAAGCGAGAGGTCGAGCAGTCTGCTGGCGCGGCGACGGCGGCGGCGGCGGCGGCGGCGGCGGCGGCGAGGTGGCCGCCGGCGCGCATGCGGGAGGTCGCGGCCGCGGCGACGGCGGCGGCCCGCGCTCGCCGCGGCACTAGGCGCGCGCCGCCGCACGTGCCGCCCGCCGCCCGCCGCCGCCGCCGCTGCCCGCCGCCGCCGCCGCCGCACAGGTGAGCGCGGCTCGTGTCCGCGCCCGCGATCCCCCTCGTTCGACCCCAGGCCTGGTGCTCTTCGGATGTATCCCCCGGCACCGGCCGCGGCCGCGTCGACCGCGAGCGTGCTTCAGTGACACAAACGCATAAACAAACAGATCATTCCGGACCGTTTCCCTGACCCACTATTTCGTCCCGCAGTATTAGGGAAGGTAACGATAGTATTGCTTGAAAATAGTTAAAAAATTATATATTTTTTTGTATTTACTTAATTTTTTGTTTGTAGTTGTTCACATTAATCTATTTTCCACTAACTTTCTCATACATCCTTACGAGGTTTAACTATTACATTGTTAACTATAAGGTTAGTGTAACACATGACTAGTAGAAGAATATTATACTAAACAAACATTTGTGTATCTGGATTTACTATTTCCAAAATGAATAAATATATTTTGCTGAACAAATAAAAAAATACAGAATGCTGTGTCAAAAAAAAAAAACAAAATATTAAAAAAAAACTATAGCCAGTGTCATTCAAGATAATTTAAAATTGCTAATAATGCTCCATGCATGCAAATGTGTACAGGCATTTAGAATTTATAGTGAAATGTCGAAACTTATGCAAATGACACACCGGGTGCCGCTACAATCCGACCAACTACTCGTATATCAATAGGGGAGAAAGGGTAGTCAGTGACGCGGACTACTAGTCTCCAGCAGTATACCAGCAATATACCCTGTCAAATCGACTCCCACGTGGTCGCTCCGGAACAACATCGTGCCGAATTCCAGGTGTATTCATCACGATGGGTTAACTGACCTGCCTTTTCATTCGCACCTATCATCGCTCACTGGTGCCCCGCCATCGTATGCCGTTAGTGCAGGCGGGGTTACCATTCCATTATCATTAACTACTATATCAATAGCGTATACTAAAATGCGAAACTTTAAAAGGAACTAACAGTCGGTATTAAATTCTGTCAATTTATGATAATGCATACCTGAAATAATTTGGAAAAAGAGATCACTTATAGAATTAGTACACGAATTAATTTCACTGTAGAGATGCAAATTTTGGACATAGGTATATAGATTCTAATTATAATTTGATATAATTTACTAGAAATTATTTTATATAGTAGAGAAAATAGAAATTATTATAATATAATATAATTTACCAGAGGGAGACTTTGAACAAAAGTCGATTGCTTGGGTACCTCTGTCCCATTCGTGTAACAACCGTGAAGCAGTTGTATTTGCATGGCTGTGTTTCGGTTTGAAGGGTGGGATATGAATTTACTGGATACAGAGGAATAACACCTGAGTCCTCAGGAACGGCAACGCTTGGGGGGTATCATGGGCGAAACAGTATACTCTGTTATACCCACGGTACTACTCATGTCTATAGGCGACGGTTACCACTTTCCATCAGGTGGACCGTCAGCTTGTTTGCCAATCTAAGTTGTATAAAAAAAATTATTAGAAATTAATATTAAGCATGGCAGTCCATCGTATCGACATAACACGACAGGAAATAAGCATTACATCAAGTCATTCCTAAATAACAACAATAATAGACAGTGATTGTAACGAACAGGTCTAAAGCGTGGATGTACTGGGGAGAAGGGATTGTAAGTAGTGGGGAGGTTAGTTAGTACCCTATCAGGTCGACCTCTGCGGGATTTCCCCTGAAAACTATCGTGACTAATTTATCGTTGAATTAGTCACGATGGGCTAATTGCCCTGCCTTATCATCCTCACCAATCATCTCTCACTAGTGCCCCGTTAGTGTATACCGTTAGTGCGGGCCGGGTTACCGTGGATATACTGCGCAAGATGAAATTGAAACATTAAAATCCTAAGGAGCATTCTTCTGCTAGTACGAGGATATACTACAGAGACAGGGGACAAGAAATACAAAAAAATTACAACTTCCACTACTAGCTTTACAGATATTCACACTCAGTTTTAGCAGTTTAGTGATCCTACCATAGACTTATTTAAAAACGGGCCGGGTGGGTCGTTGGTTGCGTCCACCTGAGAATCAACTGGTGCCCACCCCAGGATACGAGCAAAGTTTATAACAGAGATGTTTGAGAATACATATGCGTCTTAAAAGACGCCAGACCGCCCCCCCCCCCCCCTCCTCAATACCTAGAAAATAATCTTAAAGACGTCAATGACTACTAGTCATATTAATGTCAACGCTGTGGACAGGAGGCTCTTTTATTTATTTATTTTTTTTTTCGACCATGCTTCTTCGGAATATAATGTTCAATTTCACTGACAGACACTTCCTTAAAATAATGCTTATTTCTCTTTCACCTTGTATATGATTCTCTTACGTTCCTAATTTTTTTTTTCTACATTATAAACCTAATAAGAGAGCGTTTTACGAAATATTCTCGAGTTGTTGTTTATGTAATTCCGATTTATATATTCGAATTATATAAACTAAAAAATAAGAATTAGCTGTCTTGTCATGTCATAATTTATGTAAAAAGATGAAGTCTTATATAAATTCCATTTCCAAAATGCTTACAGGATGTGGATTAAATGTACACGGCCTCCCCTGCGTAAGTCATGGCTATTGCTATGAGCATGTATCTCACAAACAATCGTTTATTCTCATGCACAAATCGGAAGCCCACCACCAAAGGCCCATGGCACCGGCACGAGTAACCTATCGATCGTATTATTCGCGTACCAGGCGGGAGCGACGAAGCCAGTCCGTTTGATCCGGTTCAGTCAGCCGAGAGCGTAATCAGAGCGGCGGAGCGAGAACGCGCGGCGGCGGCCGCATGGCGGACGTCACCTGACGGGGCGCCATGCGCGCGCTCCCGCCGCTGCTGCTCGTCGTCGCCGCCGTCCTCGCCGCTGCAACCGTCCGCGCCGCCGCCGCCGCCGCCGCCGCGCCTGCCACAGCCGCGCCGGCCCTCCTCGTGCTCCGTGCCGCCTGCGACGTCGCCGATCCATCACTGTTTACTGAACAACGACTTGAAAACTATGCAGCCATGACTGAAAGAAATATTATACTTCAACGCCGCTCTGTCCGGATACTGAGTTATAAAAGTGGGTTTATTCGATGATATGTTTTATAAAAAATTATACGTACATGTTTAGAAGTACGTTACTACATTTTATTTAATTTCAGAGACATGCGGAAAAGATTGGAAAGTAGAAGTAACACGGAGTGCCTTGATGACCATCGGCGGTGGAGGTGCGGTGTCTTTTGCGGGGTGGGCGGGTACCGGTGTCTGCGAGGCGCTAACGGCAGCGGCGCGCGTGCTGCGCCGCCCGCTGCCGGGCGTGTGCGGCTCGCCGGCCGCCAGGGGTACTGCCGTTGTGCAGTTGGCGGTCCGTCTGCGTTGGCGTCGCGTGCTACTGTCCTTTGCTCCCTCTCGTCCCGAGTGTTTGGCATCCCTGCGTGAAATTGAGCGCGCTCTCATATCAGCGGGACTAGCGGTACGCTATGCACAACTCTCGTCCGACGAGCTTGCTCGACGACCGCATGGTTAGTAGCTATTTAAAAGTTAAAAGTTAAATGATTACCTTCATATAGGCCTTTATATTTAAAAATGATTTCTATTTTTGCTCTCTTTATTTGCAGTTGTGATCTTATGTGCCTCTTTTCGATCGGAGCCGGCCATAGACATAGGTGCGTTACACGCTAGTGCCGGGGCTATGCCGGTGGTGTTAATCGTGCACATCGACGAGTATGAACCCCCGCCGAAGAATGCGCCTGCCGACCCGTCGGCGGCTACCGTAACGATCGATGATTCCAATGACGCTTTTCAAATGAGCAATATCACTTTAGATATAAGAAATTCGCCTTATAAACGAAAGAGAGATAATACACCGCCCTCTTTGGTAACGTCCTTACCCGAAAATGCAAATTTATCGTCAGTTCATCCAGAACCTTATAAGAAAACTTTCTTGTCGCCGTCGCCCGTTTCATTAGTAAACAACATCGTATCTTCCTTAGATCACAATAACAAAACTCGTTTCGTATCAAAAAGGTCGCAACTGACCTATACCACTGTTTTCAAGGAACACAGAGAAGTAAACAAGATAAAAACGAGCATAATAGAGAAATTGTTACAAAATAATACTCACGGAATATATATCTCAGGATCTACAAAACAAACGTTCACAAATAACAAGTCGAAGGCCGACCCCGAAGTTAGTATTGTTCGCGGGCGCCGTACACCACGGGGAACTTGGAACGACGTGCCCACAGCTGGATATGAGAAATTTAATATTCTCGTTTCACAGCTGGATTATTCTATCCAACGACGTATGCTATTTCTTAGTGATAAACGACTTGAAACCGAACAAGCACCAGTGATAGCTGATGCGATATATGAGGAAATATTGGAAGCACTTCATCAAGATACAGAAGCGGAGCGAACACGAACTGAAAGTGGTCGTATGGCATTTTTCTTGTACGATATAACCTTTAACAATCTAATTAGATCTGGTTGGCGATGTGTAGCATTACTTGCAACTGTATCTACTAGATCTTTGGACAAAACGGATGAATGGCATACCGTCGTAGAAATAATAAATTCGACTAGGAGTTTTGATATTTGGAGTGAGGAGTACACCGGTGATCACGATGATGTGTCACTTGGCTTGACTATGCCAATATTAGTTACATGTGTGGTGGCGGCATTGATAGCTGCTGTGGCACTTATTTTAATTGCGCGGTGGCTAGCAGTGCGCCGCCGTCGAAGAAGACGACGCGGCGATGCCGTACTGGTGCCTAGTGATTTTACATTTCCTGCGGATGAGAGGCGTCGTGTCGGAGAAGGCATGGAGACGATGCTGTCGTGCTGGCTCCAACAACTGCATGAATTCGGTGGTCCTGAACTCGAGCCACCAGATCTACTGAAACAGCCACCTCGGGCAACTCCCCGCGAACCCTCCGCGCCCTCATCCACTTGTAGCATTAACCGCGTAGCAGTAGATCGTCGCACTAGATACAGAGTTAGTGCGTTATTCTTATTACTTTTGATATATTTTTACAATTATTATGTACAGATCATAATTTAAACAGTAATTCTTTTTCTTTGTTACTTCTTTTCAGGGCGATGCGGTACATATGAAATATCTACCAGTGGTTTCACTTGAACTAAAACGCAAGGCGACTGATGTAGTCCTAGTGATGCAAAATTTGCGACATGAGAATCTAAATCCTTTCATAGGTACGCACAGTAACCGCCTGCACTAAAGTTTGAAGTCATGTGTCATACGAATGAATTATTGTACAAGATAATTACAATGTATGGCAGGTTGTTTGTGTGAAGTGCGGCCTGCACTGGTGTTTGACCAATGTGGGCGTGGCTCGCTGGAGGACGTGCTCATGGCGGACGACATCAAACTGGACTGGACGTTCCGGTTGTCGCTGCTCACCGACCTGGTGAAAGGCATGCGCTACCTGCACGCGTCGCCTTTGCGCGTGCACGGCCGCCTTACGTCACGCAACTGCGTGGTCGATTCGCGCTGGGTGTTGCGCCTCACTGACTACGGCCTGCCGAGTTTCTATCGCGCACAAGGCTTGCCGCAGCCTCAGCGCTCCTCTCGGGGTACGTTGATACGACACAAAGGTTATACGATTTTATATTACCTGCATGTACGGGTTGTTATTGTTAGTTACGATTAGAAATAAATATGCTTATTTTCATTCACGTTACTTTATATTTCGAAAGTTATAATGATTGAGTAAAATGTGCTATTGTGATTTGTTATAAACGTGAACGTGAATACGCTGCAGACAATGAGTTACTGCACTTTATGAGATAAAATACAAAAATTTCGTACAATTATATAACATGCTAAATATATTACAATATACATTAAATTAAATATGAAACAATTTGTCGTCACACAGATTTGTTGTGGACGGCGCCAGAATTACTGCGTGAAGGGAGAGGAGGTGGTCGCGGCTCGCAGCCAGGAGACGTGTTCTCCTTCGCCATTATTATGCAAGAGGTCATCGTGCGCGGGGAGCCCTACTGTATGCTGGCGCTTACGCCTGATGGTAAGTGAGTTACAAATTCCTAACCTCAGTTGTAAAAAAAACATGACCACTTGACACGTCATAGCATTCCGTTATAGAGATCGTGGAAAAAGTAATGCGACCGCCGCCGTTGATTCGACCATCGGTGTCAATGGGCGCGGCGCCCCCCGAGGCCGTCAGCGTGATGCGCCAATGCTGGAGCGAGGCGCCCGACCTGCGACCCGACTTTCATCGACTTCACGACATATTCAGACACTTGCATCGTGGCAGGTATGTAATGTTACTACTAATATATTGATTTAATTTTTTTTTTTTTTTTTTTTTCTCTCAACCATAATACGAGTAGTTCTCTATAATCTTTGATGGTTCAATCCTTTTATACCAGCAAAATAAATAATACAGTGATTAACGTTATTTACCATTTGCTAATTATGCAAAACAAATGTACTACTAAAGTGATAATTATTACATTGCAGGAAAATCAACATTGTGGACTCTATGTTTGAAATGCTGGAAAAATATAGCAATAACTTGGAGGAGCTCATAAGAGAGCGTACTGAACAACTTGATATGGAGAAAAAGAAAACTGAACAACTTCTCAACAGAATGCTGCCCAGGTACGAATGCGCAGCAAAGTATAACTTTCCCGGTGATTGTGTTTCTGCGTAACTCAATAGGAGTAAAACTTTTGACTGGACTGAACAGGTCGGTAGCCGAACGGCTGATGCTCGGCTCGCGCGTGGAGCCGGAGGAGTTCGAGGAGGTGTCGATCTACTTCAGCGACATCGTGGGGTTCACGGGGTTGGCGGCGCGTTCAACGCCCGTGCAGGTAGTGGACCTGCTCAATGACCTGTACACGACGTTCGACGCGGCCATCGAGCAGTACCGCGTGTACAAAGTAGAGACGATCGGCGACGCGTACATGGTGGTGGGCGGGCTACCGGCGCGCTGCCGCGACCACGCGGAGAGCGTGGCCACCATGGCGCTGCACTTGCTGCACCTGGCGGGCCGCTTCCGTGTGCGCCACCTGCCCGCGACGCCACTGCACCTGCGCATCGGCCTGCACACCGGGCCTTGCTGCGCCGGCGTCGTCGGCCTCACCATGCCGCGCTACTGCCTCTTCGGCGACACCGTCAACACCGCCTCGCGCATGGAGTCCACTGGTACGTGGACCATTACTGATTTAAACACTTACTACACTACCGTACAGCCTATAGCTTTAACAAATAAAACTACTTCAATCGCCATTTGACGACATACCTACGGTACAGTTATATATGTTTTCTAGGGGCGGCTTGGCGCATACAGATATCAGCGGCGACCGCTGAACGACTATCTGCAGCGGGCGGTTACCGCCTGCGGTCACGCGGCCTCACTCAGATCAAGGGCAAGGGTGCTATGCACACGTACTGGCTGCTCGGCAAGGAGGGGTTCGACAAACCGTTGCCCACACCACCACCGCTAGAGTACGTTGGCAAATGTAATTCACAAATTCCCTATTTAGAGAGCCTGCATAGTGCCGTCAACTGTTGAGAGCAAATCATTCTGTTATCGGTTGATCATATTCACCGTGTTACGTCTATGTTTGCTCAGGATGGCGTGGTCAAATGTCGTGCTATAATAAAAAATCATGTACGCAACGTGAACACTACTCGAATTTTGAACTTGATAAAATGCTAGATTTATCAAATTTATGTCTTTTGTAATAAACAAGATAAAAAAAAAGTTTGATATAATAAACCTTTTGTTAAATATTTCGAGGCCATTTTTTTTTTTTTTTTTTTTTTTTTTTTTTTTTTTTTTTTTTTTTTTTTTTTTTTTTTTTTTTTTTTTTTTTTTTTTCTTTCCCAATTACTGTGTTACTGATAGTGATTCACGGTCACAGTAATTGACACATGTCTCTTTTTTTTTTTTTTTTTTTTTTTTACAGATCTGAGGAAGTGCTATTCGAAACCGACGGCGAGAACGAGAGCGAGTCATCGTCAGCTCCGTCGGCGACGCCAGTCAAGTCTTCGCAAGTTATCGAACGTCAGCGCTCAGACCCCACTTCAACTCATGATAAGTACGGTAAGTACACGAACACGTACACGAATCACAATTCTTCATGAGAGCCTCCTCCTCCTGCAACCCTGTTAATTTTATAATAACATATCAACTTAGTACGTGCAGTACCCACTAAATTAACAATTATTAAAATTTTTAATAATAAATAGTTTTCTTGTTGTATCTACTGCACGCATAAACATAGATACGATATCTATCTATCTATCTATCTATCTATATCTATCGATATCTAGATATCTATAATAAAGTTGTTTTCAAAAATTTCGATGCCAATTCAATTACAAAAAAAAAAAATGTCCTTTATTTTCTGCTCGTATTACACAGATAGAGTCTCCATACAAACGCCTCGCTAAAAGCGGATCAACTATTCCTAAGTTAAACTATCGTTAATGATCTCAGTAGTGCTTCTCAACAGGCAGGTCTCAAGATGAACAGGGACAAGACTAAAATCATGTCTAATGTCCATATCACTCTCTTACCGATCATAATTCAGAACACCACTATTGGTTTTAATAAATAAAAAAAAAAATAAAAATAAAAAATAAAAAGAAATGTGTTAGCTAATTTTGAAGTGAACTCGAGTCTATGAGAATGTCAGTGAATTTGAATTTTGGCTGACTAAAAGTTGGACCGCTTTTATTTTACACTTGATGCTCTATGATAATCTAAGGTTATCTACCGTTCTCTTATAATCAGCATGGCAGAGATCAGGTGCGATGTCAGCGGACAGCAGCCCGCCGCGCGCGCCCCGCGCCGCATCCGCCGTCTGCGTCGGCACCCTCGGCACCTCTGGCACACTCACCGCCGACCACAGCGCTCCTTACGCGCGGTACAGGTATTTACGTGTTGTATTTACACCGTCTGGACGTGGCACGCCCTCCACATCATAATTATTATTGCTAAATTATCCATTTACTATATAACTAATATAAGAAATCGGTGTTACATTTAAGATGTTTACCGAGCGGTTCACGGGTGTTGCGGCGGCAGTGGTCGCTGGAGCGCGGCGAGGCGCTGGCGGCGGCGGCGGGCGCGCGGCGCTCGGCCGGCTCGCCGCCGCAGCCGGCGGCCGCGCCGGCCGCGCCGGGTGCGCCGGCCGCGCCGACCGCGCCGCCGCCCGAGCCGCTGGCGCTGGTGCCGGCCGCGCCGCGCGCGCCGCCCGCCCGCTACCGCACGCGGCCCGCCGGCGCCGCGCCGCCCGCCGACGACGACTCCTCCCGACCGCGCCCGCCCTGACCGCCCCCGTCGTTCGGCTCTCCTACACCTCTCGTTGAGTAGCTGACGCTGCTGTGCGCCGTCCTCGTTCGGCCCTCGATCGACAATAATTTTCGTAGTCCTGTTCCGTTTCGCGGCACTCTTGTTTCTTGAAATCACTCGCCGTGCTAAGAGTAGCGCTGTAGCGACTTATTCGAACGGTACCGATGTCCGGTCGATCGGTGACATTTTCAACTTCTAAATTATGATATACACACTTCAAATATTAGTCGTCTCCTTTAATATGGTTAGTTATGAATAGAGGCAGTGGCGGACTGACGTCCGTGACTCACGTCCGACGCGGCTGTGGGCGCTCCACGGCCGCGTGCTCACCGATCGATCGCACATTACGTGCGACTTTAATCGATTAATCTGTAGGTTCTATGCTCCACGTACATCGATACTGCGAACGTTTCGATTACTAGCGCCGACCCTCGGTTCCCTTTAGTAAGGTCACTCGTAGAGACTTGAATATTGTTGTGATGAAGCGTTTATACGTAGCATTGTAAAATATTTTATTATGAGAGCACCTAAGATTCGAAATGTGATTATTATCTAGGTGATTTGTGTATTTTTGAAAATTTTCATTACAAATTAATATCTTTTCTCATACAAAATGGAGTTTTATTTAAAATCTTCCCCCCATAAGTAGGTGTTGTACCGACTGGTCAAACAATAAGTTGACATATACATACATCACAGTCTGCTATGGTTTACGCATCATATAACTTCACTTTGCGTCACTTAGTAAGCACATTTTTTTTTTTTTTTTTTTTTTTTTTTTATTTTTTTTTTTTATTTTTTTTTTTTTTTTTTTTTTTTCATTTCGTTATTTGCTCATTTCGTAATGTTTCCGGTAGATGATTATAAATATTTATAGACATTACGTAAAGGCTTGACGAATAAAGTTTAAGTCGAGAGGAAGGCAGTTGAAGTTTATTTCTCTGTTTAAGACAATATTTGGAAGGTATATCATCACGTTTCATATATATGCATGATAAAGTAAGTATTTTGCATTTTTTTTTTTTTTTTTTTTTTTTTTATTTAATAAAATGTACGGAGCTAATGTTTACCGTGACGCGCCCTCTAGCGGAGTCCTCTTACTCACACTTATTCAGCTTCATTCGCGTTTTGCTGAACGATGTTGGTCACTTATAGACTTTGTACCGTACCGTACCGTACCGTACAATATAAACAATATTCTAAGCTGGACACCTCAATCAATCAATCCGGGTCTTCTTGCCCGCCTTTAATAGTGTAGGCGGGTGAGGTAGGGGTCTCGGGGTAAACCCCTTTACCCCGGCTGCATCTCCGGAGGCAACTACCTCCGGGTCGCTGGGTTCTTGAGCCGGCATACACTGGTGGTCTGTGTATGCCGGCGTGATGTCTTCATTGATGTGGCCTCTTCTTCTTTCTTCTTGTATATATATATATATATATATATATATATATATATATATATATATATATATATATATATATATATATATATATATATATATATATATTTTTTTTTAATGTTATTTTTTTTTTTTTATAATATATAATGTTTTTTAATAATTCAAATTTAATAATTTAAATAATTCTCCCCTCTCGCCCGTTCCCAGATATATATAATAGTTGTTAATAATAAATAAGTTGTGTTAGTAAGGGTCGACACAAGAAGTGTGTCGGCCCTCCCCCCGCTTGGACGCGGGGGATATAATTACACACTTGGAACGGGCGAGAGGAGGGAATGAGAAAGAAGAAGGGAAATGGGGAAAAAGGGTAGGTAAGTCGTCGTACTGGTAGACGAGGCAATCACGATCACTATTCGCCTGTGCACAGGAGGTCCCTAGGCGTGGGACGGCCGTCCGGTGGACGCGCATGCAGCGGCGCGAGGCCCCTCAAGTGTTGATGGTGTCCGTTGTCGGCACGGGCGAACATTTTGCTCGCCATGTCGACAACGAACTCCTCCACCGTTGGGACCCCTAAGCCGCGGGCGATAACGTCGTTACGGACGTATCTGCCCGCTCCCGTGCACAAGCGGAGAGCGATGTTCTGCTGGGCCTGCAGCCGGCGCCTAAGCGTCGGAGAGCACAGTGCATACCAAGCGGGTGCGGCATATGTTAACCGTGAACGGACGTAGGTCTTATAGATAGATTCGCGCGTCCGTAACGGCAACCTGGAAGTTAGCACCGGTCGGAGAAAGGCGCGCCGCGCGAGCCTGCGCTATGGCACGCGTCACCTGCGGCACCATTCTCAACGACCGGTCGATGTCGACCCCTAGGTATCGCACGGTGCTCTCCCACGCGATTTCCGTATTAAGGAGCCTTAAGGGCGGCGGCGGTGCTGTTCGACTGCGGCGGACAAGTAGCGCGACCGTTTTGTCAACATTGACGGCCATGCGCCACCTGTCCAACCACTCCGGCAGCAGGTCCAGTTGCCGCTGCATTTGAGCGGCGGCTCTCGTCTTCCAGTACGACGACGTGAAAAATCCCGTGTCGTCGGCAAACAGAGCGAGCATGACATCCGTTCCAGGGCCAGTGTAAAGGGCTGGCTGTCCAGGACAGGGATGTCATTCGTGTACAGCGCGTAGAGCGCCGGGGAAATGCAGCTACCTTGTGGAACTCCGGCGGCCACTGGGCGGGTGTGGGAGCGCGCGTCCTCCACCGAAACGAAGAAGCTACGGCCCCTGAGAAACGACGCCACCAGTCGCACATACGCGGGCGGCGTGCTGGTATTGTAATAATTTATATACTAGGCCGTCGTGCCAAACACGGTCGAATGCCTTTTCGATGTCTAAGAAGACACCGACCACCACTCGACCGTGGTTGCGCTCGGCGGCCAGGTGGTGCAGCACGCGCGCCAGCTGCAGAGTGGTCGAGTGCCCCGACCGAAAGCCGAACTGTTCGCTCTAAAAGGTGAAATGTTCGGCCATCCGTCGAACAGCAACCTCTCAAACAGTTTAGCTATGTGCGCCAGTAGCGTGATGGGGCGGTAGCTTCCTGGCAAACAGCGATCCTTGCCCGGTTTGGGGAGGACGATCACTCTACCCGGTTCCCAGGACTCTGGAAAATGGCCTGTGCAGAAGGATTCCATTGAAGAGCCTGGTGAGCGCCACCAGGCACCTTCGCGGCAGCTGCATTAACTCGGCGTTGGAAATTCATCGGGACCCGGCGCTTTCTCCTGGGGAGGCGCTCACGGTCCTCCGCAGCTCAGCAGGTGAGATGGAATTGACACCCGCGAGCGGCGGGGACTCGCCCCGATAGGAATTCCTCTACACGCCCGTGTCACTCGCTCGTGGTGCTCGACGACGGTAGGATCTGTGGGAACGGCAAGGGGATGGGGCTGGAATTGCCCCTGTAGGTGGTTGGCTAGAATGTCTGCCCTGTCCTTGGCTGCGTACCTTCGTGTGCCCGTCGCGTCTAGCAACGGACACACGGTGGTGGCCGTGTTGACAACTGTCGGCAGGGCGGTGCAGGTTGGTGTCGTGATCGGTCGCCTGTTCGATCAAATTGTCCCAGGCGGCCCCACGCCACCCGCACCCCCTCCGACAGTTGTGCAGCCAAACAGTTGAGATCGCGCTTGACGCGCGGACAACGCGTGCGCGCCCATAGCGCGACGAAGACGGCGCTTCTGCGCGGCATTTCGTATAGGTCGACGGGTAATTTCTCGTAGCGGCCGAGACGCGCCCGCCGCTCCCGAGGGTATGGGCGACCGTTGCCGCCTCCTTGGCGGCCACTATGGCGGCCGTGATGGTCGTGGAGGCGTCCTCGATCGCCTCAGGAGTGGCGAGCTCGCCGCTGAGGGAGCACCCGTCGAGCTCGCGTTGAAACGCCGTCAGTCTATCCTCCTACTGGGGCGCGACGCTGGAACGAACGTGGCCCCGCTCAGCGCGATCAATACCGGGAGGTGAGACGTATTCAAGTCGTACAACACCTCCAGGTTAATGGGACAAGGAGACATTCTTAGCCAACACCCCTATGTCCAGGACTGGTCTTGTACCTGGGACTGGTTGGGCTTTGTGGTGAGTGAGAGGGGCTGGTTTCACGCCCGCCGCTCTCTGACATCGCCAGAAACAACCACAAGCCGTCCCTCTCATTGCAGGACGACCCCCACACGCGGTGTGTTTCGCGTGGAGATCTCGGCCGCCAGATAATGGTTGTCGCTGTCCATGATGGCTCGGATATCATTCGAGCAAAAACGACGGCGGGCAGACGATAGCCTGCAAACAGGCGAGACCTCTACCCCGCGTTCAACGCTACACCGGTTGGAACGCAAGAGGGCAAATATTCAGTGTGCTGATCTCCGTGTGGACGACGTATCCCTCGGACCAAGAGCCGCTGCCACAGTACGCCCCGCCGGAGAAGACCTCGCCCCGCCTATACACGTGATGATTAGGCACACTGAGAAATCGATATGTGGGGCTAGCTTAGTTCACCCAGCAGAATGACATGCAGTCTGCTGCTGGGCGAAGAATCGAGTCTGCCTGCTTTGTCAGCGACTCCCCGGGTTACGTAGGCGATGAAGTTCAGCGCGCCCGTATGGCCGCCAGCAGAGACCGTCCGCCGAGCGCAAGCCGACTTAATGTCCGACCCGGTCGCGAGCGCCTTTTAGGAAATCAGTTTAAGCAAACCCAACACGCTAAAAATGACGGGTCTGCAACCGACATCCCAAACGTGCTCGCGGCCGGCGTCAGAAAAATCCGTGGGGACGCCTTTGCGTGCTTCAGTGAGCGAGGGCATCCGACGTCCTGGTACTATTGACTATTTGGTTAATAAATTGTTTCTTATCTCTATGGGTTCCGCTTCGACGCCTTGGTTAGGCGTCGTCAAGCACGCCGTCCGCGTCGCCTGCGGCCTGCGGCGCTGGTGCCCTGGAGTGCCGGTCGTCGGTGGGTTGGCAGGTGTGGTGTCGCGCAAGCGCCGGGCCTTCGTTGTGCTCCGCCTCCGTGCCCGGCGGCTCGTGCGCCTGGCGCGGGTTGGATGGCGGAGGCAGTT